AAAAAAAAAAAAAAAAAAAAAAAAAAAAAAAAAAAAAAAAAAAAAAAAAAAAAAAAAAAAAAAAAAAAAAAAAAATAACAATTAAATAAGATCAGAAAAAGAAACAAGAAAATGGGATCATATAGAAATACATACTTTTGAAACAAAAAAATTCCGTGGTTAAACTATCTATCAAATATCATATCGACATATGTATATACAAATTTGAAAATAGTGTATAAAAAGAAATATTATTAAAAAAAAGTTTATTTAATCGTTTATTTGATTATAAAACAGATTTTTAACAGAAATAAAATATTTAAAACATAATAACACCTGTTAAAATAAGCTTACTTCATCAATAAGTTCTTCATATTCTTCATTTGTAAAAGTTCGATTTTATCTTTATACAAAACGCGTTACTGGTTTAAAAAAAGTTTTTTTTAATAGAAATCATTTAGATCAATAGATAATTGAATATAGATGACGCGAAATTAGACGAAATATTTTTTAACAAATCCAAAATGTTTGATGCAACAATAGATAATATTAATAGTAAAAAATTTCTGAGTCACCTAACGAAGGTTGGAAACAATGGCATCAAATCTATTACCATTATCAAGATCATTTACAAAATTATATTGAACATTCAAAAGATAACTATCTGAAAAAATCTTCTTTATTTCATTCTTTATAAAAAAAATCATATAAAACTTGTCGTCAATTAACATATGTAAACAAGTGACAATATCGATGAAGTCACAGTTCTAGTTTATTAACAATACTTTTAAACTATAGCCTTCTTCTGCAACTATTTTATTTATGAGTAGGATGAGTTGGCAAATAGTTTTCAAAATCCGTGATTGAGGAAAAGCTTTGATACCGCAATAGCAAAAGTTGGTACCAGAGGAACAATTATTTCGAGAGGACGATAATTTTAGAGGTAGGCGTATTGTGTTCGCTATAAGTATCCATGGTATGTACGCTTTATCAGACATATTTTTGTCGATTATATTATCCGTACGAAAAAAGTTCAATTCCTTACAACAAATAGTGTGAGATGTATTTATTCCACGAGACAAAAATTATATCAAAAAGAGATATGGCATTTTATCGTTGTAAATATATCCTCAGAACTGGAGAAGTTGTGGGCGTGGTAGTTATAGGCCTGAAGACTATGATTATCATTGGAAGTTCCTTGTAAGAATGTGGTAAAATTACTTCCTCTACATATGGTGTGCGAAATAATTTTTGACATGTATCCATATTGTCCCTATTGTTCTCATGAAATTTCGACTTTTTCACTTTTTATTTTATACTTTACCTATATTACACATATATGTTGTAACTGAGGTGTCATCTTTGACTCAGGTGTCACCCTTTGACCAGAATTATAGAACTGGCCCACGTAGATCTTTATAACTTCAGCCAATTCTAACCCCAACTCTGGTCAGTCGACATCTGAGGCACAACATATATAGTAGTCATGCTTAGCAATGCTTAGTATGCCTATTATTGATGTAATACAAACCTGCCACATAAACGGAGATTTCAAAAACTTTTAATCTCGATCTATTATTATGGAGGTTATTTTTTTTTTTGCAATTTTTGTGAATTAATAGAATTTTGTGAATTAATTATTTGAATTTTAATGAATTATTTGAATTTTCTCCAATAGTTTGAAAAATTATTTTATGCTGGTCCAGTTACAAGTCTATGTTTTCATAATGACGATATATTATTTTCTGGCGAAGGACCTTATTTAAAAGCTTTTAATGTCACTACTGGAAAATTGATAAATAGTAGCATAGTTTTAGAGTATTTTCGTATACATCGAATTGTACCAGGTAAATTATATTTTACACTGTATTTATAATTTTTTTTAATGAAATTATAAAAATTTTATTTATCAAAATTTATTTTAAATAGTTAAATTTATCAATAAATCACAAAACTCGCAAAGTTATACGGAAAGAAGATTGCTTGCGATTTATGGATCAAAGATAGTAAAGTTTATAGAAGCAGTTATAACTTATAATAATAATAATAATAATAATAATAATAATAATAATAATAATAATAATAATAATAATAATCGTGATGATAATAATAATGGAGATATAAATAATTATACAATAAATTGTACATTTAATCTTATATCAAAATTACCACCTTTAAAAGATTGGATACATGATATTCATTGGTTATATGATGACATAAATTCAATAATAAAATCGGTAATGCATAAAATTTTCATATTAAAATCTATTATTATTATTTTTTTTTTATTTATTAAATAATACATATTTTGAATTATTAAACTTTAGAAAAAAAAATAATATTAAAAATATTAGATATCTCAAATACCCGAATTAGAATTATCATCATCTAAATTATCTAAATTGGAATTACCATCTGAATTAGCTATAGCATTTGCCCATAACTTTGTGGAAATTTGGAATATAACAGATAATTGTTGTCTATATTCAGTTCAATGTGAAGAACGTTGTATATTATATTCGGCAAGATTTTTTGGAGATAATAGAAATGATCTTGTTTTGGCATCAGGAACAGTTTTTAATCAAGTTCTTTTGTGGAAAATTATCTCAAAGAATGAACAACATGAACAGCAAGGTGTAGGTGTTATATATAAGAAACTTATAGGACATGAGGTATGACGTAATTTTGCGCGTATTTTTATGAAATTTTTGACAAAAAAAAATATATATATAATCTTTATTTTTTATTTATTTTTAGGGTATTATTTTTGGAGTAAGATTTAGTGATGATGGAAAACTAGTTGCATCAGTATCCGATGATAGAACTATTCGTCTTTGGCAAACGGATGCTTCCAATGACATGTATAGTGATAAACCTTTGGTGCTATATGGTCACATGGCACGAATTTGGGATTGTTATATAACTGATAATTATCTTATTAGCATTTCTGAGGTTAGAATAATTATTATTATCGAAAAATCAAATATATTAGATATCAGTATGTATATATATATATATATATATCGATCTTTTATTGATTTTTGAATAGGATTCAACATGCCGTGTTTGGAAAAATTCATTCACCAATAACAGCAACAAAAATAACAATGATGATGAAGGTGACATAAGCGATGTAAGCGATGTAGATTGTCTTGCTTGTTGGGAAGGTCACGTTGGAAAGAATGTTTGGAGCTTAGCAATAAATCCTTCTCGAAAGATAGTGGTATGTTATAATAATAGATTTTTAGAGATTTAATTGAATTAAGTTGAAAGTTTAAATTGAAAAGATTGAAATGAATAGATTATTGAATATATGTAAATTTTTATTTAAGGCAACAGGTGGTGGAGATTCTGGTTTACGATTATGGTCATTGTCAACTATTACTGATAATAAAATAGATTCAGAAAAGGATTTAATCAAAGTATGTTTACCACCTCCTGAATCTTATTTATCATATATTCAACAGAATGTAAGTCTTTATTTTTTATTGTTTTTATTGTTATTTTTTCTCTTTATAATATCATAAAATTTTTTATTTCTCTTATTTTCTTATTAATTTTTTGATGATTGATACTGTATAGATGAATTTACCTTCACGTGAACATATTCGAAATTTTTTATTAATAGATTATCGTGTCATAGTAATTTCCACAAATTTTGGGTAATACAATTACCAAAATTGTTAACCTTTATTAATATTATTTTTATTAATAATTTTAAATAAATTTCTCTTATTTTATATTTTAGACATATATTGAAGCATAATAATTTGACAAATGAATGGAAGTCGTTATATAATTCTAAAAATTTACATAATTATACAATGATGAAATCTTCAAATTGTGGAAGAATTGTTTGTTGTGGTAGTATTTATGGTCATTTATATATAATAAGTGTGAGTCAAGAATTTCAGGTATTTATTTTTATTTATTTATTAATATTTGGATTAAGTTATCATATTTATTATTATTACTTATTTTTCTGTGAATACAGACTCTAGAGAGAAAATTACATGATTTTAAAGTATTTGAGATTTTTCTTGAAGAAACTGAAGGTTATTAATCTTATTAATTATGAGTAATAATTATAATAACTATAATAATTAATACACAATTATTTTAATTATTTATAATTTTAGACAAAAATATAATTTATATAGTTTCACATGCAGTACAGAATGATATTTTGTTGCTTAAATTTGATTTTAATGATAATGTAAGATTTTTAATTACTTTCTTTCCTTTAGTTTTATTAATTCTATATAAATTATAATAATTGAAACTTATTTTAAACGTTTTTATATTATATATATTTTATATTTTTTTAGGAACCCATTCTAGAAACATTATATAAGCTAAACGTTCCATCTCAATTCTTATTAATGTCACTTGCATTTTGTCCATCTTATAATATACTAGTATGTGGTTCACGTGACAGTGGGTTAGTCATCTACAATTTGAATCAAGCTCCTCCCTTTTCTTCTTCTCATCCAATAAATGAATTATCACCAATCATTTATTTGAACAAGATTCATGGGAAGCAATCAGTAACTTCAATTGCTTTAAAAGTTGAAAATTTAGTAATAAATTCTTATGTTGTTCACGACCCCGCTGATAATTTTACTGTTGATAATGATAAGAAAGTTTTGATAATATATACTACTGGAAGAGATGGTTGTTATGCTAAATTCAGATTAAAAGGGATAACAAATAAATATAAAAATGATAAATATGATGTTAATACAACAGAAAATTACCAGAATTCAAAAGAGGATTATAATAAATTCTTAGTGAGAAGTTATATAGATGAAGATAGTGATGATAAGAGAAGTTATATAGATGAGAATAGTGATTATGATGACAATAATAATAATAATAATAATAATAATAATAATAATAATAAACAAAAATTATATAAAAAGAAGGATAATAATATGAGTGTGGAGGAAGAAACAACAGTTATAGTATCAAATCATGGGTTAATTTTGGAAGAAGTTTATAGAGCAAAAATTACTAAAGGATGGTTAGAAAAGGTGAATTAATTATTTAATTTTATTTTTTTTAATTTTATTTTTTATTTATTTTATTTATTTGAATAATAATTATAACGTAAATTTCAGGTGTTATTCGTGGATGATGAATTGATGTTGTTGGGATTTTATAGGAAAAGATTTTTTGTGTATAATGAATTTAAGAAGTTTCAGGTAACAACCTCTTTTCTTTGATTATGTAAATAAAAATAAAATATAATCACATGTGCACACAATAGATATTGACAATCTATGTTTATTTCTATTAATAATGAAAAGATATTTTCAGTTGCTTGTGGTGGAGCACATCGAGTATGGCATTTTAAAGCCCAAGATAAAAAAATGAATAAATCTAGTTTCATGTTTATTCGTAAAGAAAATGTTGGTATCATAATTTTTTATATTATTCTATTTATATATTCTATTAATAATATTAACAACTTATTGTTATTTGAATTTTAATAGGTATTCATTTATTCTAGAGAAACTCATGATAATCAAGGATTTGATGAATGTGAATTACAAGGAAATTTTCATGGAAGAGAATGTAGAACTGTAAAATTTTTAAGTATGTATTGCTTGAAATAATATATATATATATATATATTTATTTATACATAAATATCTATTAGGTTTTATATCTTGATTTACTTTTAATAACTTTCGAATAATTTTAATAATCTATTTTTTTTTAAAAAAAAAAAGAAAATGATCAAAATAAAGCAATAATATTTGCAACTGGAGCAGAAGATAGTATATTGAGATTATTTCAATGTAATATTTTTTAAAAAATATTTATTATTATAATTCTACTCCATAATTATTGATTTATTTTATTATTTTATTTCTATTTTTTAGATATTCCAGATAATGTAGAAGGTTATCTTGTAAATTTATGTAGCATCAAAAAACATACATCGGTAATTCGTAGTATCGAATGGAGTTATGGTATTCCTTTATCTTAAATTTTATATATATTTTCTGTATTTTATTTGTATTCAATTTATATATATATTTTGTTATGGCATGTTATTTTTTAGGTAAAGGCTTGTTATTATTCTCAAGTGGTGCTAGTGAAGAATTAGTATGCTGGAAAGTTGAAGTTAAATTTAAAAATGATACTATAATAATTGAGAATTCTGGTAATTTTGAAATATATAATTATCATTATTATTTTGTTGTTTTAAAATAATTAATAATGCATTTTATTAATATAGTAAATTCTCAAGTCGCCAATGTTAATTGTTTAGAATGGGCTTCATGTCCTGCTATTAGGTATTATTTTAATTAAGAAATTTTCAAAGTATATCTAATAATATCTAATTTAATTTATACTTATGCATATATCTATTTATTATTTTTTATATTTGCTTTAATCATTTTTTAGCGAAATCCCAGAGACTAGAATAATGGACATAAGTGTATTTTCCATTATTCCTGGCCAAGGAATTCATATAATTGCCGCAGGATATTCTGATTCTGCTTTAAGAGTAAGCATTTATGTGTAATATTTTTTTTATTAAAAAAAAAAAGTAATCGTTCTTTTAATATTTCAAAGGTATGGCTTTTTGATGAAGAGAATAGAGAATTTTTATTAATTGGATATGCAAAGTATCATTTTAAATGTATTTTGCAAGTTAAACATTTAATAATAAAAGGTAAATTTTATTGTTATTATAACTTCAATATTATATATATACATATCGATTTTTCATAAAAAAATACATATATATATATATATATTTCTTCTTTTTTCAGCTTCTAATGAGATGAATACAGATGGAATATTAATATTTACTGTAGCTACTGATGGAAGGCGAGATTTACATAATTTTTTTTTTTTAATTTATTTTATTAACCGAAAAAGAACGAATTCTCATTATTATTATTACTATTAACAGGATTGCTATGTTTGATATTTCTCAAGTTGTATTTAAGTATGTAATTCTTTAATTCTTTTTGATTATAATTAAAATAATTTCAATAATTTAAATAATCTGATTAACATATATATTAATATTATGATATTCGATTTTTTAGAATTTTAAATACATACAAGAATGAAAATACTTCTTTTACACATCAAAATTTAGGTGATCCCATTTATTCATATCAAGCACATCAATCTGGAGTAAATTGTATTAACATTCATAAAATACCCAAGAATTCTAAAAATATTGCTACAAATACTTTTGAAAAATTTATAACTACTTTCATGATTGCGACTGGTGGAGAAGATAACGCTATTTCAATTAAATTTTTAGATATTACAATAAATTTATTATATGATATAAATAATATAAATGATGAATACAACAATATAAATTTTCAATTATCAATTAATTCTGATAATAGAAATAATTTAAGAATGAATTTGGCTCATGCTTCATCTATCCAAGGTAAAATATTATTCTAAACGAATTTAGTGAATTTACTATTATTTTTTTTTTTTTATTTTATTTATTATTTTAATTTTTTTTTTTTTTTTAGGTATCCAAATTATTAGTGATGTTTTATTGTTTAGTATTTCTTTAGATCAACATCTAAATTTATGGAAGATACCTTCTTTAGACTCAATTAAATATATAGAGTCAAAAGAATCTAAAGATTTTAGAGATAATGATTTTTGTGATATTGATAGTAATAGTGATAATAATCAAGAATTTCAATTAATTAAGTCTGAATTCATTAATGTTCATGATACATCTTCAATGGATATTTTGAATATTGGAGAATCTGGAGAAATGATTATTGCTATTACGGGAATTGGAATTGAACTTTTAAAATTTTAATTTTATAAATTTTATAATAAATGGTATCTTTATATTTAAAAAGAAAATTTCACAATAACAATATAGTCAACCGGCCGCGTATACTTCAAATATTTGAAATTTATTCGTTAACTGTGAACAAATATATAAAATATTATCGAACTCCTCGAAAAATGCGAATGACAGTGATAAAAACAAATAATTAAAGCCGCTTTCTCTATTTAATGAACTTTCAAACGATATTATTCTTGTACAAATGAATTTAATGATACTTTTATTTGTTGATTTATTATCAAAAAAAAAAAATTTCTATTTTTTTCCAGTAATTAATAAAATTTAAAAAGATTTAATATTTTATGAATGTAAATAATACTCAGCGAACATTTCACAAATTTAATGGTCGATGTGTGCAGTTCTTTGCATAATAAAAACATCACGCGTACTTTAATTATTTAGTAATCACTTACAAACAAATAAAAAAATAATATTTTTTCGTTCTTCGGAATTTGCTTAAAACGTTTTCGCTGTCCAATCCAAATAATCCACTTTTTCTATAATTGAAAATGAGAAAAAAAGTTTTTGTTCAAATGTGCTACCTGCAACTTAGAAAAACCTCAAACGATACCGGAGTATTACTGACTATGCACTGGAAAAGGCTTTAGTAGGAACAACATATAAGATGCTTTGTCCAGAAATTAAAGTCGGAACTTTACTTTGTAACAGTTACTATTGTGCAATTGTTGAACATAATAATTACATGAAATATAAAAAAAGAAGTATTGAGTGTGACTTAACATATCAACCAAATATTCAAAGAAAACGAAAGAATATCATCGATTAGTTGATAATTCAAAATCAGTTGAAGAGTTAAAAATAGAAATTCAAGAATTAAAAACTCAATATCTGCAGGTAATAATTTTTTATTAATTTATAATAAATACATAATACATTTATTAATATTTATAATTTATAAATAGATATCAATACCTTTGACACAATTTTTTAATGATAAAATTCAACGTCTTACTACAATTCTATATAATTATCAACACTGAGAAGGAAATAAACCAGTTTTAGATGATGAATTTATAAAATTAATTGAGAACCGGGATCAAAATCTTTGTGGTTTTTTTGATCTTATTTTTCAATCTATGAATCCTAAAACAGAAGGGTTAAAAACAAAAGAAGCTTTAAAACAAAAGGTTATGTTACTTCGCTATCAAATGGCAGCATTAAGTAATAAACAAGTTGGTGGGAGGAAAAATGTTATTGGACTTTATATGGCCAGCAACTGGTACATCAACTGTTGGCATCAATACTCTTTCAAACATGGGTTTAAGTGCAACCTATCAAACTGTTTAAAAATAAATTGTGAATATATATGAAAAAACAATTCAAGAATATATCTTGGATAATGACTTTTAATATGCATGTTCACCAGGTTAACTTCGTACTACGTTATACTATAATTAATTTAGCAAATTCGTTATATCGAAATTTTTTTATTATAAAAAAATGGGCCAAATAAATATTCGTTATATTAAGAAATTCGATATCGAAATTCGTTGTATCGAAGGTTGACTGTAATAATGACATTTAATACGTTATTGAGAGATGTGCAATAATAATTATTTACAGTTAATAAAAAACCAAAACAGGCAACGGAAATCATAACCCTACTAAAAAACGAAATCACAAAATCAGCATTCTACATTTTATTCATGTGAAAAAACCTTTTTTAGTAGATTTCTTTGAAAAAAATGTCTCTCTAAGAAAAGTCACAATATCTTCAGTAATTTGTATTTTATTGCTAGTCCGGCTATCGGTGATGCTAAAAATGCTTTCCGATGGAGCGATAATAGTGTTTCCAAAATTTGACGAGTTAAATCCTTGAATGGCTGATCGAAACACAGTTAAAAAGTGGAAATATAGAAAAATAAGATATTTTCAGACATACCAGTACTTATGGTGTTTTTTTTGAACATTTCGATTTTCTATGATTAATAATATTAGATCGATGTAACAATCTTCTTCTTCAAGGTCATTCTCATTATTATTGCTCTCTTTTTTAAACCATTGAATGATAATATCGAGTTTCTTGCTTGAATCTATTAATGAGTCAGGCATCTTTTTTGCTGAAAAAATTTTCATATTTAAAGACGTGTGAAATTTCGCTGAAAAAAAATTTCAGATTAAGGCGAACGTTGGCATTTGACAGTGCTAATAATGCATTGAACCTCGGCTCACCCGGACAAATCTCAAAATTCATTGGAGGACATTATATTAGACGAGTAAAGTGATACCAAAGTCGTAAAAATATCAAAAACGGTAGATAAGGATGACATGTCACAATATTAAAGACTTACAAATTTTCGTGCGGTTCTGAGGGCAATTCGTAAATTGTAACTTTGCATTGATGAAACTTTTAAATTTTTATTACAATTTAGATAATTACTGAATTATATTAGTATTTTCTAGTGAGGGCCTTATTTAAAAAACTTTAATGAGAATTAATAAATTGTAACACGGTTTTAGAGTATTTTCGTATATACATCGAATTTATAAAAATTTATTTTTATTAAAATTTAATTAGATAAATCAAAAAAAGATCAAATGAAAATTTCACAATAATAAAATATTCAAACAGTCGCGTATCTTCGAATATTTGAAATTTATTCGTTAATTGTGAACAAATATCTAAAACACTATATAGATATCCTCGAAAAATGGTTAATGTCAGTGACTAAAACTGATAATTAAAGAAAGTCTTTCACCCATTCCCTCCTTTAATGAACTTACAAATGATATTATTCTTGTACAAATGAATTAATGATTTTACATACTCGAAAGCGTTTACTTTAATTTGTTGATTCATTATCAAAAAAAAAAAAAATAATAATGATTTTTTTTATTTTCCAGTAGCTTTTGAGTTTAAAAAAGGTTTAATATTTTATGAATGTAAATATAATTTTTTTTTGTAAATACTCAGCGAACATTCCACAAATTTGATGGTCGATGTGCACGGTTCTTTGCATAATAAAGACCACACGCTAAATAAAGTAAAAAAAAAAAAAAGAATATACCATTACAATTTGTATACCTTGTACATCTTGTAAAATTGTTTAATATACAATTATTTGTGTTATAAAAATCTTACCATTACAAAGTTTTTGAGCAGGTGTTTCACCTGCTCTCCAACCAGGTGTATCCGTGGTTTGGCAATTAGCACATTTTCCAGCTATAATTATAAATTAATTGTGAATAAAAAAAATTACTTAAAGTATTATTATTAAATATATTTATTAAATAAAAATTATAATGACATCGACCTGGATTATAATTACAAGGTTTTGCACGAGCTCTTGGTAGTGTACTTTCGTGAAGCATAGAAGAAGGTGCTAATACACTAATTAAATCGGCACGCTCAACACTTGGGTTTACAAAATTACTGGTAGATTGTTTCGGTAATATAAGTGGTTGAGGTGAAGAGGAGGAAGCTTGAGGAACGGGAATTACTGGCGTTTGTACATCCGATTGAACTTGTGATGAACGTGATATCTTCTCACTTTCCGGAGTATTTTGGACAAGTTGAATAAGACGATTACTAAGATTATCCACTACCATATATATATATATAATATATATAATTAATGATATAATAAATAAGTAAATTATAAAAATCTATTATTATATTTTAGAAAAATTTAAATAAAATCAATTTTCCGTACGAATCTGTTTGTTGTTAGAATCGGGATTATCAGATTGTTTCGTGATGATCAATTGAGCCAAGTCCTTTGCATTATTATCAAGCAATTCTTGGAAACTTTGATTTCCAACATTTTGTACTACGTTATATATGTCCTTATCTCCCATTAGTAAATCAACATCAATCTTTTCTTTACGACACATCTCTAATTCAGCCTGTTGCTTTTTAAGTTCGGGAATTTTACGAATTCGATTAATTTCTTGTCCAATATTAATCGGTCCAAATTCAGTTTGGGTAACCGTTGAAGAATCTATGGGATCGGAATTGGCTAATATTCGTGCCACTTTTTGATCGATTAAATGTGCACCGGAAGTCAATTTGTTCATAAATTGATCAACTTGTTGGTTCATTTCCTCGCCCATGTCACTAACAAAAGACTTGATACTTTTAGCATAAGAATAACCCTTTTCATCTCCATATGTGTTATAAAGAAAATCTTTATCTTTTGGTGTAAAAAATGGTGGATCGATCCCTAATGTTGCATAAGGACCGTAATCTTCAAAACGAGCTATAAGAAATATTATTAATGTTAATTAAATTTATTTATTAATTTTAATTAAATATAATAAATAAATATAAATGTCGATAGGCAAAATGAATTACCTGGTCGCTGTTCTTTTGTAGAAATTACTGTAAGAAGAGGTGTATTTCCAAATCTCGGTGGTTTAGGGATTAGAGAAAATGGATCAGCATCTATATTTTTTTGTTAAATAAAATTAATTAATTATTTATTTTTTTTTTAAAAAAAAAAAAAAAAATTATAACAGAGTTGAAAATGCAGGAATATCTTACATGGAATAAGTGAACCATCTGGAAAATATTGTGGATCGGTTTTCTTTGATTTTCTTGTTTGTCGAATTGGTCTTGATATTGAGGATGCTAAAAATCCGAACAAATTAATTAAAATTCATTAATTTTATGCATATTTAATAATATTTAAATATGCATAAAATTAATATTAAAGAAGTACCTCGACTAGATGATATTCCTTGCATGAAATCTCTAACACCTCCCACCTGATAATATATTAATTCAAGTTAGGAATTTCTCAACATAAAATCAAAGAATTAATAAAAATAATTACTTTTTTGCCCTTCAATTTTCGATTTCCATCTTCGATTCCTGCCCTTTCTCTCTCTTCTTCTAATAGAATATTATTTTTTTCGCGTTCTATCGCTTTTTCACCAAATTTCCATATTTTATCAGCACTTTTATAATATATAGTATCAGGAGCGTTGTACGTCCGGCAGTTATTACAAACGAGTTCAAAATCATCCTGCAAAAATCAAGAATGAAATTCTTTAATAAGTTTATCTAAGAATAATAATTACAAAAGTTGAAAAATTTTATAGAACCTTAAATTGATCAATAGATGTGTATTCATTTTTTTCGATTTTTTTCCTCATCGTTCCAAAATCCATGGGATTCTTTATGACTGAAAGATAATCCGTTACAATGGACGTATCAACTGGTTCCAAAAAGAAGCCATACGCATCTTTTCTATATTTTAAATTAATAATTATTAAGTCAATCAAAGTTTTCTAAATCTTTTTAAAAATAATAATAATAATAATAATATAATTTATTTACTTATCAAATGAGTCTACCAATTTGATTAAAATTGTCTTTAAATCTTTTTTCTTTTTTTGCCAACTCAAATTTCTTTGAGATATTCTTTGTTGAATGGCTTGAGACTTTGGCGGTCTTCCAAGCTTTTGTGCAGGTCCCTTCTTACCCGTATGAGCAAATGATAACATCCCAGAGTTAGCTTCATTTCCATTTGTAACATTAATTGTTGTATTGACCTCTTTTGGAGCTGATAAAGGTGAAAAGGGTTTAAATTCCATTACTTTGGATGATGAGGCAACTGTTGATGAATCTTTGCGAGTTGATTGACCATTTGATTTTGAAATTTTGGAAAATTTATTAGGATGATCTGTTTGTCCCGCTTCGGATGGATAAGATCTTTTTTCTCTTAGTTGATATGTAGAAGTAGGAATAGGAATAGGAATAGGAATAGGGGCAGCAACTTCAGTTTTAAGTTAGAGATAGTTAAGTTAGATATAATTTAGTTTACAGTTAACAACATTAATCGAATTATTGCCCTTAAATTTAATATTTCATTTATCCTCATTCCTTCTTTTTTTTTTCTTTTAATTTATTAAATTCTTCTTACCTATCTCACTTTTCACTTCATTTTTTACATTAGGTTCAACAGCTTGAACTTCTGTCTTTACTGCTGTTTTCTCCGTTTTTTCACCGTATATATTTCCATCTTCGTCAGTGTTATTGCGTTTCGACTTCTTTTGGGTAGGATGTTTATCGTCCACATTTATTTCATCCTCCTTTTCAGTATGATCTTCTGCTGCCCGCTTTCCTGTAACTTTTGATAATACTTCATCTTGATCTTTGGGATTCTTTCTCTTGCTCTTCTGTTTCTTTGAGCTTGCAAGCGAATCCGGATCTAATTTTAACTTTAAAACAGTTTTGGAGGAGTTAGACGGTGAGCCATTGGCTTCTTCCTTTTCACGATTTAATGCATTCTTATTCTTTTCGACCCGATTCCCCTCATCGCCTACTTGAACTTTATTTTTGTCTTCTGGTATTGCAGGGGGTTCCTCTGGATCTCTCTTGAGGGAAAGATAAATTCTTGTTGAACTCTCTATTATTTTAATTTCAAAAATTTAAGATTAGAAAACATAAGCAATAATAAATATAACCAAAAATCAAGAAATTTACCTTTCTTATGCTTGTTTTTGCTACTTTTTTTACTTTTAGACTTCTTATCTTTACCCATTTTAAAAGGGTAAGAGTGAGAATCTTATTTATGATTGGCGGAGCTCACGTGTGGCTATATTTTTATAATATCCTGTGGCCAAGTGTGGATCTCGTTACTTGTTACACGAAAGTTCTTTAAATTTTTTAAATTTTTACTAATATTATTTTGCTTGACCAACGAACGCCACAAAATCCTCATAATCAAAGCGTAAGGAATAAATTGAATCTCTTTTTTGATATTTCAAAAATTAAGTTAATGCAAAATTCTATATATCCGCTAATATAAAATATAAAACCAGTTATTTTTGGTATTAATGGTATTATTCTATAGTTGTAAAATTAAAGCTTGTATATTTCAGAGTAATTTCATTATCTATCAATATATATGACATTTATTATCAGTTGGTAAAATTACTGGTAGATTTGAATTTTATAACCGATAACTTTCTCTTTCTGATGAAAATAATATTTTAATTAGCAATAGCATGTGATCAACCGAACGAAGATAGGGGGATAAGTATATAGTATATGCGATAATCTCAAGCCGGAATGGGAAAATTACAAACGTCATTTTATCAATTATGATAAAAAAACCAAAGGTTCTGATTGTATATATTTTTAAAGTCAAATGGTTACATTAATAAAATAAGATAAAGTTTCCTTTTTTTAATAAACAAAACTTTCTTTTCGATTATATTTAAAATTTTATTTTGCCCCAAAATTTATTATGTAGATCCTTTCCGTTTCTCGCGAATCGCGAATTAAATATAATAATAACTTATTAATCGAAAAATTTTTTCAATGCAATATGTCCGGTAAGAAAAATTTTGAAAAAATTAATAACTATTCCAAATGATATAGACGCATTATTTTAGGATGCTTGTACAGTAATAGACTCTTATGAATTATTTGATTATAGTTTTCCTCAAAAATATCGATAAAGATTGCAACATTATTCTTGATTAATGTGAATCGTCTGATTATAAATTTTTTTTTTAGATGATAGTGTGCAGTTTAGTTATAATTGACATGCCTCTAAATGAACTGTTACATTGTTGCAAAGAACCCAATAATGTGATTTTTAATCAGGTGGAATAAAATTTATGGCAAAATAGGTATAAGAAATATAAGTGGACAATATCATCAATTATTGAAAGTTTACATATCTGTTTCATATAATTGAATTTTGAAATATATTAAAAAGTATTTGAGTATTAGGCTATACTCCTACATCAAAAATCAACATAGACAAAAAACGTTAAGATTATTTTTGCTGTTTGTATTCCTCTTTTGTGATCAACTGGCAGGGTTGTTTTGAGCCTAACCTTCCCTTCAAGGCATTCGATCCCCCCAATAAGTTAATGAAATCATAAACAATAAATTGGTCTCATATTGTTGGCGATCTATTTCAAGTTTAGCAAGAAATCAAAACGAAATGATACTAATTATTATAAACATATTGCTTAAACCAGAAAACAAATTGTATTTTATATATGTTAACAAGTAATAAATAATGATGACGAAGAAATCGCCGAATTAATTATTCCATTTTTCAATTGGGTCTTTTTTATTGGGATTCAATCAATATTAATTTGGAGTATTGTGTCAATGTTAATTATGTTAAATAAAATAATTTATCAATTAAATAATGTAAAAATATTGTCTCTATCAAATCCCAACCATTTAAGATTGTATTCATGTAATAATAAAGGGAAAATACTGATGAAGTATGGCAAATTCCCTAAAATTTGAAACTAAAAACCGAATAAATTTCAATTGAAACTGCTTTTCTGAAAACACGTGTCGCAGTTATTATTTTTTGTAATAATAAATTATGTTAAAGGAACAGCTGATTTTGGTGTAGGATTTGTCGATCGTTCGCCTCTTAAATTTTTACATCGAGGATTCTTTATATTTAAGTTTAATTTTATTTGTCAATAAAAATTTTTTTTTATTTATAAATGAATAATAAAGATAAAAAAGTTGATTCGAAAGATGAACAATATCATTGAGGAGAAGGAGATCTCCTGGTGACGATTATGCCAAATTATATTATATGAATAATATTATGTCAGCCTCTATTCATGAGGTAAAAGTCCTCTTATCTTTTTCTCAATTCTCTATCTTTATCTCATTATTGAATATATTTATTATATAAAATATAATCGGTCATCATATATAACGGCCGTGAATTATCTTAATAAATAAAAAAATCTTGGTGTTTTTATTATAATTGGTACTACATTTTTATCTTAATGGCAATGATATAAAGCATGAGTGTCACATAATAAATGAATTTTGTTATAATAATATTATAGAACAATATTTCTTAATAAATTTTCTTTAATAAGGAAATTTTCAAAGAGTTGAATGCATTTAAAAATCGTTCAATTTGGTTAAGAAATTATTTAAGACTTTATAAAAATCTTATTGTATATAATAATAGAAAGTAAATTTTAAACATTATTAATTTCGAAAATGCTTACTTTACTCACAAGAATTTTTTCTTTTTTAACCAATTATGTAAATCAAATTATTATCAAGACAATCTTTCTTAACAACTATTATCTTTTATACGAATAACTATTAGTACTATTATTTTGATAAGATGCTTTTATAATATTATAATTTTACGCACATCACGGTACACATACATAACTATTATTCAGTTATAACAATAATCTTTATTAACCAATCAAAACAATTAAAAATAATTTTAATATTTGCTTAACAATGAAAATGGTGATAAATAGTAAATATTGTCATTTGCTATTATGCTATTATTTATTACTATTATTATGATTTGATTTACTTATTATTTTTCTTTTTTAGTATATACGATTGTTCTTACTCAAAGAACAATGCTATTAACGTTATTAATGTCGTAACATCTTGTCGATATTAATATTATTTAGGAGAGAAAACATTATATAAATATGTCTGAATAAATTTCTGACTTGTATCAGATTTTTCGTTTCCTTCAACTACTTAGGAAATTTAATATCATTTATATCATTTTAACTTTTCATTCGAAAATTTTAACAAAAAACTCGATATTTTTATTACTACATTATAATAATCATCATGATTGTAACAATTCAAGGTAATTATTCTATCTAATCGAAATTTACTTAATTCATTAGTTTTTATTTTGTTTTTAATAATTATTGACCATCATACTCTTTTTTTTTTTCTTTTTACTAAAGATTTCGATATCTTATACACCGTAAATTACTTTCGTCCACTAATACAAATGATAACATTCTTGTTAGTTACGTTGTATCTTTCGTGGTATTTGAGTATGTATTTCGTTTATTTATTTATTTATTTTATTTATCTATTTTTAATTTAAACCACGTGAATTAACCTTTTCTCAACTTTTTTTTTTTAGAATTAGTAATTGCATTCATAACGAGTCAACTTATTTCATCACCCACTAAACATAACCAAAATAAACCTCAACAACAACAACAACAACGACGAGAACAACAACGAGAACAACAACAAGAACAACAATTACAACAATTACAACAACAATTACAACGATTGCAGCTTCAAGATAATGATCAACTAAATCAAGAACAATTGCCTGATCGTCATAATAATAATAACCAAGGAATAAGAAGGAGAAGAGATGGCACAATAAGGAGTGAATGGGAATTTGAAGATATTCTAAAGAAGTTTTGGATAATTAGAATTCTTTAAACTGAAATAAAATTTTTCATTCATAACATTTATAGAATCTTATAGATGTAGTTACCAACGACAACTTTATTTTTTGTCCGTAACTTATCTCATTTATCTCATTTATCTCATCTGTTTCGTTTACCTCATTTACTTCATTTACTCTCATCTATTTCATTCGTCTCATTTATTCTCATCTATCTCATTCACCTCATTTCTAATTACTTCTTTTTTATTATCAAAATTGTAAATATTTTCATATACTACTTTATGCTTTCTATATATATATATATATATATATGTATGCACATTTACTTTTTCATTTATTTTTATATATATATATATATTTTTGTTATTATTATATCAAAGCTTATTAATATAAGGGGATTAATACCTTTATTCATCAAATAAAATTAATAAAAAATTATAAAAATTAATATAAAAAAATTAATAATAAAAAATTGTGAACAAAAAATAAAATTATATGTTATTTTGTCCAAATATCAAAAACCTTGTTTTTAGATTTGAATTTCTTAATTTCTTTTAAATCATCTAGAGAAGGAGTCCATACATTTCCATTAATTTTTTCATATTCTAATACATTTTCGAGACATCCATTCTCTTGGTGTGTAGTAATTTTAAAGAATGATTTCCCTCTATTACATTTTCTATTATCTCTAAGTGCTAAATATGTTATTATGGATTGATCTTGTCTATGATTAGTTCTATCACTTCCTTTAGGTGCTATACAAGCTTTTATCAATGCACATTGATACCACGCATCAATTAAATGTTGAGTTTTGTCAGTATCAAATAATAATACTGCACCATTACAATTGCTTTCATGAACATATTTATTTCGAGAATCTTTAAAATATTCAAATACTCCGGGATGTGTCCATAAACCTACATCACCTGAAGTTTTGGGGGATACAAATCCATCAAATCTATCACTCCAATATGGAACATTTTCTAAAAATTCACTTGATATTAATGTTCCACTATCAACCCATAATATTAATTCACCAGGATAATCTTGAGATACTTCATAAACAATTGCAGGTTTCCAAGCATACTGACCACGACTTCGTAAATTTAAATTTAAATTCCAAAATGAAGGATATTTTGTAAAATTAAATTTTCGAAGTTCCGAAAAATAACCATTTAATTGATATGCTGTTAATGCATTATATTGATATTTACGTAAACCAATATCATAAATTATTATTCGAGGTTTAACGACAAAATCGGAAGTAATGGATTTCATATAATAAATCCAATTATGTAATGGACAAAAATGATTATAACTAGCTCCTGTGACAATTGTTATTGATGGTCTCATTAACGATGGAGATAATGATGATGATGATGATAATAAAGATTGATCGTTTGCGGAGTATTTTAGTCTAGTATCAAAAATAATTTGTTAATAATAAATCGTAATAATAATGTTATTAAACCCCCCAAGAAAAATTGAATACCAACATATCACTATTTGTGTAAATTAACGTCCAACAGGTTACAATCAATATAACCAACGGTCTCACTTTCATCTTTTTATTCTTTAGGTTTTGATTAATGTCTTATTTGTTCTATTTGTTCTATTTGTTCTATTTGTTCTATTTGAAGTTATCTGGCAAATTAAAAAAAAAATGAAAAGTACAAGAAATATATGAAAGAGAGAGAAAGAAATTTTCAAAAGAACGGAAAGCTTAAGAAATATGCAAAAGAGAGAAAGGATGCGAGGTGATAACGAACTTTTATAATTTTATATCTTTTCTACAACGACGACGAACGTTTTTTTTAAAAATTTAATTCAATGTTATTAATAATAATAATACTATAAGAAGGTTTATATATTTTTGGTTTCAATATTAACATTTCCTTGAATGGTAATCAATATTGAAAATACAAAATTATTCTTACTTTTTTTGTCTGTTTAATAAATAATTAATTTTTAAAGATCTTTGCATATTAAAATACTGATCAACATACGCATATACGTACAAGGAAACGGAGTCCGGTTATCTAAAATAAGGATCACGATCTCATTGGGTAATTATCACGTTTGCGCGGAGAAACACCCGTGACCGAAATTTATCATATTGTGTAGAAATATATAATTCTTCAGACAAATCAGATTTTTTTTTAACCAATGGAACCTCGCTCCAAGACATATAATGAAACTTTTTTAGATAAATTTATTTAAGTTTTGAATAACGAAAACTCTATATCACACCTACACCTTGGTTTTTCAATTTAATATTCATCACACGTGAAATATTTTCGATTACTTAGACATCATGTGTCTATTATTTAATCATATATTTTATTTTTATTGTTGATAATTACACTGGTATTGAACATTCACTACATTTCTTACATTCTTAAAAAAAAAAAAAAAATTTAATATTAAATACTGTAAATAATTAAATTAATTGTAACTAATGAAATAATCTAAATTAATATTACAAATAAATATGAATATTATAAAAACAAAAGAAGTAATAAAAATAATGAAAAAGATATTAGGAATATTAAAAACAACTGGTAAAAGATTTTCTGTCGTAGATTTATAATAATAATAATAATAATAATAATAATAATAATAAATATTATTAAATTATTGTTGAGCGCATACTGGGGACCTTTTTTCCACTTTTTCCACTTTTTCTGGATAAAAAATTAACAATCCAAACTTAATTACTTTAACCTCATTCTTTACCACTGTATGGGAATTAGGATTATCTTTATTTTCAATGTTTTCTGCATTGGTTTCAGTATTAAATATAGTTTCCACATCAATACAATGATCGCCCCTTTTTAAATCCACATTCTCTGATTTTATCATATTATCTTTTCTAAAAATATTTACACTTTTACTTCTAATTAATGTGTTTCTATTATTATTATAAATGTCTTGTAATTTTTTGTTTCCTTTCACAAGTCCATTTTCTAATTTTAATGCTGCGAAAATTTCTTGAAATTCAATTTCCGAAGAAAAAGTGATTTCGTCTCCTTCTTCATCTGTATAAGTAAGACCAATTGGAACATTAGGATTAATTTGAAATATTTCTCGAACTTTTGTTTCAAATTTGTACCATGAAATATTTGAAGTTGGAATTGAAAACCTTCGAGTGATTGAGTAAGGAGGAATAGTACTGATTTTGAATGTTGTTGTTTGACCCATTTTTTGTTTGTATCAAGAATTATTAATTTTTTTCTTAAAAAAAAAAAGGAATAATTTGTCTGATATATTAGAGAGAGATATATATATATTTCTTTATCATTTAATCATTTTAATAAATCCATAGTTGCTTCGAAAGTTTTTCCCGAAAAGTATATTATATGAATGTATTAAAATCAATTTCTATTTTGAATATCTCACGTAGTTGTATATTTTTCATGTCCTTATTGTCTCCATGTCAACAGTTTATAAATATATATTAAAACTTTGTAAATATATGTAAAAAATTAATTCTAAACAACTTTAATTGATGACTTAAAGTAGGTTTTCATAATAAAATTTTTATGGTGTTCCTTGAACACTGATTTCACGTGTGCATCATCTTTTGTTGTTTTTAAAAAATTATATTTATTATTCTTTGTATAATGTATAAATCAACTTTATCTATATGAGTATCTAAATTCATTATTATTTTAATGTGTGAGGAACAAATAATTAACTTTATTTAAATAATTAATTTTCAATTTTTCTTTTTATTCATTTTTTAGAATGTAGGGGGCAAAATATTCTCAAATTGATATGACAATAACATAAAATTGACAGTATTTAAATTTAAAATCATTGAAATTAAGAAAAGTTTTAACATTTCTTTTAATCAATTATCAATTAATTGTTTTGGATTCATAAATTATTTAAAAATAATCAAATTCTATTACAGAATGTAAACCATTCTCACACAAGTTTAATTTCGAATATAAAATAAATTATAATTCTTGAGTATTAGAAAATTAGGTTTTTTTTTATAGTCAACTTTCATAGAAATTCGCGTTCTATAAACACGATATACTAAATTACATATATGTCAGAGATATGATTACAACATGTCAAATTAGACATTTTTTTATTTATGAGAATGAAATATTGATTTGATTATAATTTAAAAGAACAATTTGTTAATAACAATGAATTTATAGAAGGAAATAATCAACATTTAATCATTTGTTAATTAAATAAAAAATTATATGGGCGATATCACCTTATTTGCAAAAGTATTTACATGAGTCCTAATTGATCCGCGGATCATGCTGTTACGGATCCGGATCAGATCTTAAGGTTCAATCCACGGATCGGATCGAATCCAAAAAAATGAAATCCGAACAGGATTCGGATTGATCTAAAAAGGATTCAGATTGATCCGTTGATCCGAATCGGATCCAGTGATCTACAAAACTGAGATTAATATTTTTAACGGTTTTTTATTAAAAATAATTACTTTTTTCATTTTTTTCGTCCATTTTTTTTTAATTAATTTTTATGTTAAAAATTTGGTAATATTATATTATTTATTTGCTTATTTATTTATTATTTTTATAATAAATTATATTAATTTATTTCTATGTTTAGATAATTCAGATCTAATTAATTTTTTTTTTGATTAGTTTAATTTACTGTTATCCTTTTTTTTTATATTATATTTAGATTTTAAAAAATGGATTTTGAAGATTTACAAACTTTATGATAATGACAATAATGATGATAACCAAGAAGATAATCAACCAGAAAATAGTTATTCAAAAATCTCAAAAATCTCAAACAAGTAGTCAAGTTTGGAATCATTTCAAAAAAGCAAGTGATTTTAAAAAAAGTAAAAAAGCAATATGTAAATATTGTAGTTTATCATGTGTGTTCTGGAGGTAGCACATCAAATCTAATGAAACATTTAAAGAAACAACATTCCATAAGAGCAGGAATTTCAAGACAAAGTACAACTATTGATGAAATGTTTGGTCCATCAAAGGTAGATATATTGTTTTTTATTGATTTTATTTCTTATTTTTCATAAATTATTAATAATATATTTTATAATATATTTTATTATAAGTGGAATATAATCAAGAAGAAATGAGAAATAAACTTGTCAAGTGGATTGTTATTAAGCAACATCCATTTACTATTGTTGAAGAAGAAGACTTTATAAACTTTGTATATTCACTTTATCCCAATGCAGAAATTCCCTCTGCTGATACAATAAAAAGAGAAATTATGGAATTATATGTAACAAATGTAGCTAAAATGCAAACAGTTCTTCAAAAATTGCAAAGTAAAATCTCATTCACAACAGACATCTGGGTTTTCACTTCAATGAAATCTTTTATGTCTATAACTGTCCATTTTATTGATAACAAATGGCAAATTCAAAATATTATAATAGATTTTGTACAAATTTATGGTTCACATACAGGCAGTAATATAAAAAATTCATTTGTGTCAGGTTTAGAAAACTTATCAATTCAAAAAAAGGTATTTTTATTTTTATTTTTATGTTTTTAATACTAATATATATATTAATATGTAATTTTGTATCACAGTTATTAGGAGTTACTACAGATAATGCATTTAATAACAATACATTTATTCATTCTTTGAATAATTGGGCAAAAGAACATGAAATTTCTTCTGATGAAAAAAAAATCATTTCAGATGTTTTGCACATATCATTAATTTGGGTGTTCAAAGTGCTTTGACTTGTTTAAAAAATGAATTGAGTCAGGTATTTTGTTGATAATTGTTCTTAATATTGACAATTTTGAATTGAATATACTTTATAATATTTAACTTTGTTATAATATATCATATAGCTTAGAGAACTCATGACTAAAGTTCATGCATCTCCTCAGAGACATGAAAAATTAAGTTATTTTTGTAAATTTCATGAAGTCAATGATTTGAAACCAATTTTAGATGTGGCAACTTGATGGAATTCAACATGTGAAATGATTTCAATAGCATTGAAAATGAGAACAGTTAATATTTTATTAATATTTTTAATAATTTTAATTTTTTAATTTGACAGTTGATAATTTTAATTTTTTTAATTTGATATTAATAATCTCAATTAATATTTTGGCTCTAGATTCAATAGCTCTTTCAGATAAAGATCTCAGAATTCATGTACTTGCTGATGATCAATAGTATCAACTTGAAAAAATAATGAATTTTCTTCAGCCATTTAAAGAAATTACAACTATAATGTCAAGTAGTACATATCCTATACTTTCCACTACAATACCTCTTTATAATACTCTTATAGATCATACAAAAGAAATTATTAATACAGAAAATATTATTTCAATTAAAGCAGCAGCAGAAAAGTGCAAAGAAAAATTGTTAGAGTATTATAATAGAACCAATGAAACCTATCTTATTGTTACTATTTTAGATCCAAGATTTAAAACATTATATTGTGAAGAAAATGAATGAAGCCAAAATGAAATGCATGAAATTAATCAAAAGTTAGTATTTATTAATATTTTAATTTATTATTTAAAATAATGTTATTAACTTTTTTAGAATTTCTTCAATTTACAATACATTTTATACACCTACTTTATCTGAGGTTTCAAATAAAAATGAATCTTTTGAACAGAAAAATTCTATTATAGAACATTTATTCAAAAAGTGCTGTATAGAAAAAATAGACAAACTTCAAGTATATCTTTCTTTACCTACAGTTAATGAAACAGTGAATTCTCTTGAATGGTGGAAAAGTAATATGAGCCAATTTCCTCATCTTTCTAAAATAGCATGTGATCATTTGTCAATACCAGCAACCAGTGTATCATCAGAACAATGTTTTTCAATTAGCAAAAATTTAATTACAGACAATAGAAATCGGTTAGCAGGTAAAACTGTAAGAGTTTATATGTGTTTAAGATCATGGTGAATTGGTCCATTGAAAAATGAATATAAATATTTTATAGTTATATGTATAAATTTTATAAGATTTAAAGATTAATAAAATAATTGGTAATTTTTGTAAGTTCAATAAAGTATTAAAATCCAAAATCTATAAAAAATATTCAAATCCAAAAAAAATATTTGAATTCACAAAAAATATCTGAATCTACAAAAAATATCTGAATAATTTTATGGATTCAAATATTATTTATGGATTTGGATTGGATTCAAATTGATCTGAATATAATAAAAATTGGATTCAGATTTTAAAAGTTGAATCTATATATAACAAATTTGGATCTGGATCAAGAATTTGAATATCGGATTAGATCCGAATATAAATAAAATCCAATCCAATTCAGTTTTGCAGAACCCTAAAAACATGTCATTGAAAAATATGGGCAATTATATAAAAGACAAAGGCCACAACTATATAAATCTCTGATGGAAGGAATTAACATGAGAACAGTTACTCAGATGCTGTTAAAAATAATATAAATAGAAAAGTTAAAAATGATATAATGGAAAAGAATGATACAGCAAATGAAAATATTATGAACATGTTATTAGAAATCCAGCAAGATATAAAAGAAATCAAGGAACAGGTTAAAGATATAGATGAAAGATTGGAATTAGTGGAAACTCATTGTGTTTATGAAATATTAAATGATGAAGAAACTTTGGTACGATTAAATAGAGTGGAAAAACATATTAAAAAAAATAATGAACAAGGAGGGGACAAACCCCTAATTTGAGGAACATAATTTTAAAAAAATATTATATTATATGAACAATCATAAAAATATAAACATTAATAATAATAATATAATAGAAAATGAACAAAGTACTAATAACAATCTTTTCTTAAATAATAATAATAATTTAGAAAATATTAAAAAAAAATCCAAAAAAAAATTTTGAAAATGAAGATAAAATTAAAAACATAAATAAAACTAAAAATATAAATAATGGACTAATAAATAGTAACAATTATGTATTAAATATGAATCAAAATAATGATAGTGTCATAATAGATAAGAATATAAATCAGAATGATTCAAAAACTTTAAAAATAGCTACTCAAAATATAAGAGGAATAACAAGCATTACAAAACAAATAGATTGGTTGTAATTATGTGAAGATAAAGACTTAGATATAATTGGGCTAACAGAAACCTGGACAAAAGATGAAAAATTGTAAATATGTATTCAAAAATAATACAATAAAAGAAATACAAAAGAAAGATAAAAATGCCAATGAATACAATCATTTTTGGACAAATGGACAACAAATAAATAGTTCAGGAGTCAGAATCATAATAAAAAAAAAATGGGCAAAACATGTTTATAAGATAGATAAATATGAAGCAATGTGATCTCTATAAAATTGTTATTCAAAAAAAATAAAATTACAAATAATAGTAGTATATTATTCAATAAGTGCAAACTAAAAGAAGCTAAGAACTCATGTAGCAAAATGGATAATACAAGAGTTCAACAATTATATAGTTAAGGACAGGCATTATGCAATAGTGATGGAAGATTTTAATGTCACATTTAATCCTAAATTTGATAAGTTTAATATTAACATTAATGCAAGAAATAGATCAGACAAACTTGAAAGTCAAATATTGAAATTTTTAAATAATAACAGGTTTAAAGATACTTTTAGAACATATAAAGATATCACAGAAAATGAAAATATGCAAAACAAAATAACACTAAATTTTTTTTGAAGAAACAGTATCCAAGAAATTAAAAGCAGAATAGATCAAATAAGGATATCAGATAACTTAGCAGATCAACTTTTTTGTGCAATATTATATCCTCAGATTTAGAAAGTCACAGTGACCATTTATGTGCAATAGCAGAAATAGAAGACAATATTTTTAAATATACTAGATCTATAACAGATTCAGATAAAATTCTAAATAAGATAGAATTTAACTTTAAGGAAGCATCTGAAAAAAAATGAAAAAAAATTCAAATCCCAGATTGAATTGATTATAGCAGAAAATACCACATTTGGAAATGACAATATTAAAAAAAATGGAATTTTTTCAGAAATGTCATAATTGGAAAAGCAAATGAAATAATTCCAAAAAAGAAAAAACTATTATCTGGGAAGTATGAAGAATCAAAAGTGCTACATAATTACTTTATCACATATAGAAAACTGATATCTATAAGAAAGATTCATGAGTGGGGTAGACAGTGGTATACTAACAGAAAACAAAAGAGCATATTAGAAGAAAAAATAGAAATAGTTAAAAAAATAAAAAACATTAGGGAAGAGTATAATATAGAAATTGAAGTTCCATCATGGACAGAACAATATAAGAGACTAAAAATTGGTTGAAAGGAGTCAAAAGAATGCACCATACTCTACATAAAGTATTTGATGCAGAAATAAAGATGCAAATTATAAAAAAATTAAAGAACAAATTATCAAAAGAAATAAAAACTTCCAAGACAACAAAAAAATAGTCATTCAAAGTCTCCTAAATAAAGAAAGACCTAGAATATCAACAGACAGTTTAATTAGAACAACCAATAAGCAAGTTGAAGTATTAACAAATCCAGAAGAAATAAAACAAGAAGTTAAAAATGTATTTAGTCATAGGATTACCTCACAAAATATAGAAAACCTAGATCAAAATCAAGTGTGGAAACAAATTTATAATCAAAACAATGAAATACAAGAGGAATGGTACCTACCATTAACAAAAAAATTCACAGTAGAAGAAATCGAAGGAATTGTCAGAAAATTACCAAACAAAAAGGCAGCTGATCCATCTATAATTACTAATGAACTATGGAAACATATAGGTAACAATGCACTACAATTTCTCACAGATATATACAATCAGATTTTAAAAAACAAAAAAATATCAAAAGAATGGTCAGAGGGACATATATTCCCTATAGCTAAACCCAAAGATTGGAAGAAGAATATATGCAATACTAGATCAATAACCCTACTAGAAACAGCTAGAAAAATATTTACAAAAGGAATTTATAATAGACTCAGTACAATATTAACAAAACACAATTCTAAGCAAAAATAACTGGGCAGGTTTGCCAGAGAAATCAACAAAAGGACCTATACATATTTTGAACAATTGTATAGAGGAAGCTAAAGAATTTAAAAAAGAAATATGGATCTTATCACAGGACATATCAAAAGCTTTTGAT